TCGCTAACAGAATTTCTTCTACCAAAATTTATACGCAAAAGCGAGTGCCGCCTGCATTTTCCTCCTTTGCGTCTATGTTTCTGGCTTGCATGTTAGATATAGAGGAGAGTCCCAAAGCAGCCGTTGACCTCTCTAAAAACAACCAAGACCCCTCTCGAACTATAGTCTACAAAACTTCGTCGATGGTAATGAAAATACCACCAGAATTATACTTCACTTCGTGCAGGGCGCCGCTTGCTCGCGAAAATATATCGCTTCACTTTTTACAAATCCGGTTTTCAGCTTCTAGCTTGCATGCTGAACGTAGCAAAAAGTCCACTTGACCTCACTACAAACCGGCCTGTAGCTACACGACTCTCCAATAAACTTTTTCTACTTTTCCTTTCTGTGAGGAGGGTGGTTCAAGTGATCGTTGGGGAGAGTTGAATATCCATAATTCTATATTCAAAAAAAGCTAATCATTATGTATATTATATACTTGCTTAAATATAATTTTTAAAGTTTTTTCAAATAGCATATATGCTACTAATTGCTGGATTTCTAAACTGATATTGTTCAAAGCTAATAATTGAAATTTATTGAACCAGTCACCAGTACATTTATAATTATTTAATTGACTTTCCAGGTTTGCTAACTATGTTATAAGCTATTGAGTATTTTTTTTTAATGGAACAAATTCTGATGCTATTTGATATATATTCTTTGACCAAGTAATCAAAAGGTCTTCTACACTATTCTGATACAACAAATATTCAATTAACCATACTTGTTCAAACTGCAAGTGATTAATGGTTATATTTTCTATTTTAATATTTCATTATATGAAGATAATAGTAATTGAATTCTCCCCATTATCAAATTATCTTCAAGAAGTTCTTGAAATATTTGACGACTTAGAGTAGAAAGTATTTCAATCTGAATTTTATAATGATTATATATTTGCAAATTTTGCTCATTAGATTGTAAACTTGTTTGGTAATCACTAAAAAGATAAAAAAAAAAAAAGAAGTAAATATAATAAATAATTAAAAGTGGTTACGTCTAATTTTTTCAATAAAGTTTATTGATAAATTTGGTTTAAAAAAATTACCATCGTTTCAAATCAGCAAGTATAAAACCTGAGCTATTGGCTGAACTATAATTCAGGCTTTTAATTTCTGATGATATTTATATTGTTATTGTTAATTTGTTTATTGCATATCCATATGATTGAACTGTTTGTGTAGAAGAATTGCTACCCATTTCTCTAATCGTTCCAAATAAACCCTCGAGCATATCTTGAGAGACTCTTCTTGGTTGAATTACAGCACCCGGGCAATTATTAAAAATATATTCTACAATTTCAAGGAATCCATTAATTGATAAAATCAGATCGAACTGACACTGTGCAGAAAACCATTGACTCGAATCTTTTTTTTGTTGATTGTCTTGAATGAACCATTGTTTTATTTCCCTCAAAGTATTCAACTGTGGATCGTTAAGTGAAGAAATACTTATTCGACTATGTGTAATATCTCGAAACATACGCGTATAGTGAATAAATAGCTAATAATAATACAATAAAATGTTAAAATTTGAATAATATTAAAATCTTCAAATCTAATAAATTTAAAAAAAAAAACTATTTTTCTAGCTTAAATTAAAAAAAATGTTAATTATATACTTAAGTGCCTTGAGAAATATGCTTTAACTCGGGAATGTTTGCTATTGCTTTTTCAACATCAAATGATAATGTATGCTTAGCAAAATCTACTCTCATTTTGCTCCAAGGGGTAAGCCAGATATGTCTTTTAGTTAATTTAGTGGCTTTTGCTATCATATGCTTTGCCGTATGATGAAATACTCTCTGAAAATGTCACCAACTAATTTTCCATCTATTAAATATTATTTCTCTTATATTTTTGCCTTTACTATCACTAATATAACTTTTAGAAATATTATTTCTTAACTTTTTAAAAACATGTGTTAAATCATTTAGAAAAAACTATGTTTTTCCAGTTATAGGATTAATAGCAAGGTGTGATACCCAATGTTCATTTTCATCATATGCAGGACGAATATTATTAAGTAATGATTTTCATATTGAAAATTCAACTACTTTTCTATTAGTTTCGATTGTAACTTCAATATCCAGACAATTATCTACTTAGTGTTCAAAGACAAGCCGGCTTATCATGGCTTGCTGCGGCTTAATGTGGCTTATCACATGATAAATTCGAATTTATCACCAAGTCATGTGATAATCGCGAAAATATCGTGTGATAAATTTGAAGATATCACATGGCTTGGTGATAACTTCGAATTTATCACATGATAAGCCGCATTAAGCCACAGCAAGCCGTGATAAGCCGGCTTATCTTTGAACACTAGATCTACTAAGATTTCTGTAAGTATTTTACTAGGATACTATTTATTGTCATTTGTATTTCGAACTTCATATTGATCATTAATGCTCCAAGTAATTTTTGCTGGCATTGGAGATCATATATCTGAATGTGAAACATTATAAACTTGAGTAGCACCTGTAAGCTGAACTAAAAATTTAGTACATTTTAAATTAAAAGAAATTATTGTAGCTAATTGATAACTTTTTTTTCCTAATTTGTTTGATATTTGAACTTCTACATTGTTATTTACTTTCCAAATTGTTGCAAACCAGTCAAAGCTTTTAATATGTCTTCAGTTTTCATCTGTACCATCACATACAGAACCATATATATGAATTGCAACGTATTCAAGCTTGGCAGCCAGATGAAAAAGAATTGTATTAAGAGTATAAGCATTTCACAGGTCAAATATATGAATAAAGGTTAAATAACGGAATATATCTTTATTGACCCGTTATTTACCCAATATGCATATCGGAAAAGAATAATGGTAAACTAATGGATATCAGTATTAGGGTAAGATAAAAGATAGATTTTGGATA